GTTCATTACACTGAGCTCTGTTACCTCAGTCTCGTTATATTTCCACATCATGGTGGTAGCCGTGCCCGAGATGTCCAGATATGCAGGCCTCATCAACGTCCGGAAAGAGCCATGCTGAATATCACGCCTCTTCGTCCGAAGACTAGCACCCTGGACGAGATGCTCTTTTGTTGCAGGCTGCACTACAAGCTGCAGAGACTTGCCATTGTCAAGTCGTACATTGTCCGGAGAGGCACCCTCACGGAAGACAGCGTTCTAAGGGAGGATATTAGCTAACGAATCCAACGCTCATGAAATATAAGAATAGTATCATACCCAGTCCTTTGCATAGTTTTGCTCAAACTCTTCAGCCACAAAATCGAGTGGTAATCCTGATGTCTCATTGAAGTAGACAATGATAGAGTCGGTGTAGAGCTCTTTGGTCTGACTGTCGTAGAACCCGCACGTACAGTTCTCTGCTCCACGGGAAACCTCTGCAAAGACAGGCAGGACTTGCACCAAGGCAAGTCCAAGGAGAGCCGAGGAAAACATGAGGATGACCGGATGACTGAACAAAGGAAGGAGAACGAAACCGCGTGTTCAAATTCAAAGGCGGTATTTGTCTGTCGTCATGCCGCTAGTCACCCAGGACTAATCAAAGAGACTTAGAACAAACGTGCAACGACGCTTTTCGGACCAGGAGGAGCCGCAGCCATGGCGGGCGCTTCAGTGGATAGCAGAAGGCGGCAAAAGTTCCCCTTTCTGCCACACAGCCTTGACCGGGCCCCTTGAAGTCATCATCGGAGCGGGCTTTCAGCCGTGCGCCATGCAACAAGCCAAAAAGCTCTGCAAGCTTTGCTTGGCGGGTCCGCCGAATGGTGAAATCATGGGAAATGTTGTTGCATTGGCCTGAGCAGCTGTCGCAAGAGGCGGAGGGGTTGTGCAAGGCGTCACCAGTAGGCCGGGAGACGTGCACTGCAGCGGGCCGTGCGCCCACGCTAGCACGGACCAATCTCCCACTCTGCCTACATTTTCCCACGTTTGTTGAGATCATCTTGACAACCCCCGTCATGGCCACCCCCGTCCACATTAGTGATCTTCGCCACCAGCATTATCTCGCCGTGTTCCACCTTGTTCCAGGATAATTAGCGCCCGCCATGCACGTTCTATTGTACTCTAGTGGTTGTTCCCTGCTCCTGTAGCAATGTGTTGTCCGAACTACACCTACCCTAGAGCAGTGACCAATCTTTCAGCTTCCGCATCCTCCGTCGCACCAACATGCCGTATACCCAGATCAACAATCACCCTAGAGCAGACGGAAATGCTCCTTCGCCTAGCCTCGTGGCCCATGGACATCGGGCACCCCCTTTCGACTTGTCTATTCTGCATGCAAGAAGCATGTTGTAATTGTGGGCGACATTGCTACAAAAAAGCATCCCATTGGCTGCTATGCATGAGGAACACCGGTTCGACGCCCAACTTGGCAAATTCTCCTCGCTGGACAATGTGAAAAATACTCGAGCAAAAGCATGGACCTTTGAGCCTCCCACGGTCGACCCACTTGCATCCCAATGTTAGGATCGGGCATTGCTGATACCACTGCCGATCCTACATCGAGCGGTAAGTTGATGCGGAGACCAGCTCTCCTGAGCGCCATTGCACAGTTCAGGTGAACCCATACGCACAGTGGTCCCTTTTTTGGCAGGACGTTGGCTGTTCGCCACACCCTTTTCTTCCCGTAGTCATCAAACTTGGCCTTTGGAGCCTGATATATCAGCTGTGTCCGTCCCTTCACTCGTTTGAGGTTTGCTACAGTAGTCATACTTTCTTTGATTCGACTCCTTCTCCGATCGTTACTGTCACATCATTCATTCGTTACAAGATGTCTGACAACAAGGATTGCGTAATTAATGTGGGAGACGTCTCCTCTCCTACAAACTGCATCACCGAAAAGCCCGCCCCCAAGAGTAATTTTTCTCCATCCCAAGTTATTGGACAGTCATCTTCGTGGATCTCGGAATGGACACCCTTCGGCCTTGTCGTCTCCTATTATGTCTTTTCGGTCTGCATGTATATGTATTGCAGTGATAGCCTCATAGCTATCTTCTGGTTTATCTACATGTGCACCAACTTCTACATCGCCGGTACCACGGTGCTCGAGGCTTTCTTCAGTATCACGCCCTGCCGCGAGGCAAGGGAAGTGGTTACCCAAGCCCAGGACAGGAAATGGCACTTTCCTACGCCAGACAGCAAACTACCCATCTTGGATCTTCTCATTGTTGCCTATCTGCCCAACGAACAGGACATCATCATGGACCGCGCTTATTACGCGCTCAAGGAGATTGCCTACCCTAGCGATCGAATCCGAATTAATGTACTTTACAACACACCAAAACCAATCGAGCCGCTGGAGACGGAACTTGCCGAGCTGCCACTGCGCTTCCCTCACGCTAGAGTTATCAAGGTTCCCGGCTCGACGTCCAAGGCGGATAATCTCAACTACTTCTTCACATTAGATACGGGATCAGACCTAATTGCGATCTACGATTGCGACCACTACCCCCACCCCAACGCACCTCGGTGGGCGGCTGAACGATTCATGGCAGAGAAGGACGTGGACATTGTCCAAGGCCGGTGTATCGTGTTCAACTCCGAAGACTCATTCATGACGAACATGATAGCCGTAGAATTTGACAAGATCTATGCCGTATCGCACCCTGGTCGTTCGACAATGTGGGGCTTCGGGCTTTTCTGCGGATCGAATGGTTATTGGCGCACATCTCTCCTCCGTGATCTCAAAATGGACGAAAGCATGCTGACCGAGGACATTGATTCGGCGTTGCGCGCATTCTCCAAGGGCGCTAAGACCGTTCATGATCTCAATGTTACTTCATACGAGCTGGCCCCTACTACCTTTGCCGCCTTTTGGAAGCAGCGGCTCCGATGGGCTCAGGGATGGGCTCAGGCCAGCATGCGTCACATGAAAATGGTTTGGAACGGCGTCAAGGATCCCTTACACGAGGAACATGCCAAGCGTAGCTTCACAGCTCGATTTGGCATGCTATCACTGCTGCTCATCCGCGAGTCATCTTACTATCTCGTCACACAATACACATGTCTTGTGGCATCGTTCGTTATCGTTAAGTTCCCGACCAACGGTGAGGAGCTGTGGAAGCTGGTTTATTTCCAGTACCCCATCTCACAATGGCTGTTCATTATTAGGTTCGTGTCACCGATGCATCGCTTAGATCCTTGACCTCGCTAACCCTCCGATTACAGTGTTATCTGCTTGGTTGCAACGCTCTGGATCACCAACCAGGTCAAGTCCGAGTTTGTGTCAAGGAAGATGATCATTCTCTTCTCCGTCTTGTACCCATTTTACCTTGTTCTCAGTGCGACTATTGGTCTGTATGGCCATGCGCGCCAGCTTGTCAAGTACAGCTCTTGGAACCCAACCGCCAGGAAGTAGACTTGGCAGTCTGGACCTTCCACCTTAATGATTATGTGCATATCCTCAATGGGCGGAACGTGACCCGCCCTGCTCTTTTCTTTTCTTAAGTATAAATAGTTACGCGGCTTGGGTAGAGGACATGGGCGACATTGGCCCAGAAACATATTTCCATAATATCAAAAATACTTTTTTCCACCTTATGCAAGCCCTTCGCGTTCGCCATTCGTTATTCGTGGATTGTGCTGACAAGGTGCAATGACGGATGGCGTCTCCTGAACCAGTCGATTGAGTCTCTCAACATGGCGATGCATCGAGTTGGAAATATTGCCGGGCGTTTGAACTGTCAGCCAATATGACTCGGCATGTTGTGCTATCTTGTCACTACTCTAGAGCATGCACGGCGACAGCAACAGACGTGGCGCTATGGGAGTTGCAGAGAATTCGCATTCCGAAAATGTTCGCTGGTCGGCGAAGGGTGGACTTGATTCATTCAGAAGATGACGATCGTCCCGTTCAGTTAAAGATTGGCAACGGGCACATATCGCCGCCCCACTGTGCCTGACCGCTTTCCGTGTACGCGGCCAGTGTAAGACTGTAAGAGTGACTTCAGGAAGTCTTCTGGAGATTACATGACCAACACGCAGCCGATCGACACAGCCGAGCATGTGCTCGGCCCCCACTCGTAGGCGCATTAGTGCAACGTGTGGGATGAACATGGACCAAGTCGTGCTTGTGGCTGGCGGCTGATACTGGCGGGCCGCAAGCTTAAGTCAAGCTAGGATACGACGTCTCCGTCTTTTCCAGGGCGCCAAAACAAATTTGGAATGCGTCCAGCCACCCCTGGGAACTTACTTTTCAGCCTCACCTTCGCGAGTCAGGTTGTTTATTGTCCTTTCAGAACAGCAGCAGTCTTGGCACTCCGCCTTGCCCTTCTCGCTCCGCCCACCATGATACCACCCTTGTCGAGTGGGGGCTGCGGAGGCGCTGGCATATGTCAGGGCAATGCCGGCCATTCGGCTTTTCTTTTCTCGTGGTTTTGTGCCACTCAACTTCCAGATGCTCCGTCTGTCGAATATCTGCCGTGTCTTCCACCGACGTCACGACTCATTTCAAAGGAACGATAAGACGACGACACGCAGGCCATCATGCAAAAGAGAACCTTGTCACATTCCCTCCAACCGAGGTTCCGGTATGCTTCAGCTAGCAGGTTTAGCTCAATCGCTGCGCGTCGACCGAATATTGCGTGGTCGATGGACGATTCTTTCGCGCCGTTCTTGTCCAATCCGCTAAACGCATGTAACGCTGTAACGCTTATCCACAGTTTCCCTCTGTCACCACCCAAAAGGCCAAGGCGCTACAGTCAAATAAGCCCATTGACATGCATAACTCGCTTTCTTCGTGGGAACACGTCCTGTAGCTAAATCTAACCGGTTCAGGCTGGCAATTGTGCACTTGGGGAGCGAAGCAATACGCCAGAAAAGGAGGATCTCCCGAGCTACATTAGTCTTTGTTTTTTTTCTCGGCGAGCCAAGACGTTGATCTCGGGTCTCCCCCGGGGTGACCCAAGGACATGCAAGTTTCGTGTTATCGGGAGGACGTGTTTTACAGAGACTGTGCGGGCGCCCTTGATTGGAAAAGTGGCCGTGACGTCTTGAGACGGAGGGCGGTGACCAAACTTTTTTGGACTCCTGTTCGAAGTGTCTCTTTTCCTAATATTAGGTCTTTTGCTCAACTTGCCATACAGCATCAACGCCCTTTTCCCCCCATTATGAAGTCCGGACTTCTATCCTCTCCTTTGGCAATGTTTACGTCATCATCGAGTCCGTATGCGACTGGCATCGCCATGAACCAGAACTACCTCATTGGGCTCAGAGGTCTGTTTGTGGTTCAATCATTTCTCTTTGTTTTCTTTCAGACTTTCCTTCCAGCAGCTGTCCCCGACTCGAAAAATGTCGATGGACCTTCCTACCAGATTGGACTCCGCAAGTCGTTTTCAGTCATCTTCTGTAACCCGTCCTTGATTTATGGATGGATCATTTTCCTTTCTGCGCGAACAATATGCCTGCCATATCTCGCTAACAAGACGCGGGAGGTGGGCGCATCCAGTGTCTTTCGTCGCGGCGTCAGACTATGGATACCAACCTTTGTTGCGTACTCCATTGCAGCAGCAGCCTTCAGTACTACATCCACTGATTACATCTCTGATTTCATGGAGTCTACCGGGAACATCTCGACAGGCGTTCCAATGCGCATCAGGAACTTCCTAGTATACTTCAACTCCATGTTCGAAATCTTCTGGATCAACAAGCAATACAGTGACCAGGCTGCCAACAACATCTTTCCCTCTGGCACTCTCTGGATCGTCTCTGTGCTCTTCCAGCAAAGCTACACTGTCTACATGACCATGGTCATTGTCCCCAACACCCGCATGTCCTGGCGTGTCAAGGCCATGCTTGCCTTTATCGTCACTGGATTCTGGGTGCAGAGCTGGGCGTGGTATAGCATCACCGGTCTTCTCATCGCAGACGCCGTACTCAACATGAACTTCGCCTCGCGTTCGCAGCGGGGTTTCAACATCGGCAAGACTACAATCCCCTTCTGGCCACTGTACGCACTTATGGTCTTCGTGGGAGTTTTCCTGAACTTCTTGTTCATTTCATGGAGAACAGATTTGCGCAACGACGAAATCTACAGCCACACTGGCATCTATACAGGCGGCTTGCTCAACGAGAATGTGGATCTTGACCTGCCCATGGCTCGCATCGACAACTATCTCATTATCCTGGGCTCCACGCTCTTGATCGAGACTTTTGAAATGCCCCGTAGCGTACTATCCGGCAGCTTTTTCGTCGCCCTCGGCAGGAGAAGCTTTAGTGAGTGCACTTTTTTTTCCACCGCCAATACAAGACAGCTACTTACAAGACACAGGCTTCTTCCTGGTCCAATCCATCATCATCTACACTGTCGGTATCAAGACCTACCAACACATGGCTGCATCAGGAACCGCAAACGGTGTAAATGGACTGGTATGCTTCCTAGTGTGCGCACCCCTTGTTACAATCTTAGCAGAACTCTTCTACCGGATCGTCGATCTGCCGAGCATTGTAGCCGCCAGGGGCTTTTGGGCGTTCATGACGCAATGAAATTAAGCATATAGGCGTCGTCACAAGTACCGATAGGCCTTCAGCCCGTCAAACCAAAACTAGCTTGTTACAGTTGTGTTGACTCGCTTACCAACCTTGTCTCTCTTTTCTCCAACACCACGCTATCCCCCTTCGGAGGCGTCTTCCCCTGTACATCCCCATTTACAAAAAAGAGATCCTGTTTTCATGTGGGATTCGGTGCGGAGCACCACACTACTACTACTACTGCTGCTGCTGTCTTTTTCTTCGGCATGTCTTTCAGAGGGATGGATTAACCTACCTTACCCCCGCATCATATGGTCGATCCTTTGAATCCTTCTTCCCCGCATTGTGGTGAGACATAAGAGGGGAAGTAGCCTATCAAGTGTTTGGTCAGGAAGGATGCAAAATACAACATTAATACCCTGTCACCTTTTCGAATACACCTGGGTTTGGAATTTTAGACGCTGTAAATTTCAATTACATCTTTTGTCGCAAACGCTTTTTGTCGTGTCCCCAAGTCTTGCATCACCACTGTCATCGTCTTGGAGTTTGTTGCTACCCAATCAATGAATTACGGTAAATGAAAAGACAAACCATGAGTGCACTTGACATGGAAAAACCCCATGACCCCAAACCCATGCACATCGAAAAAGCCATCGCTATCACTGAAGATGTCAATCCCGCCCTGGACAAGCGCCTCAACCGCAAATTCGACCTCCGCATTCTCCCCTGGCTCTTCGGAATATGGTATAGTCAAGCCATCCCTTCACACTCCACCATCTTTTCCCTTCCCATAATCCCCCTTCTCCACTCCCTCAATAGCCATACTCATCTAACCCACCAACCCAAAAGGCTCTTCTCCTTCATCGACCGCAGCAACATCGGCAACGCCCGCATAGCCGGCCTCACCACCTCCCTCTCCATCCCCACAGGCACACGCTTCAATATCGCCCTCCTCGTCTTCTACATCCCCTACATCCTCATCGATGTGCCCTCCAACCTACTCGTCAAGCGTCTGCGCGCCGGCATCTACTTGCCCACCCTCATCACATGCTGGGGGCTAGTATGCACAATGATGGGCTTCGTGAAAACGTTTGCGGGGCTGGTGGTTTGTAGACTGCTGTTGGGGTTGTTCGAGGGGGGCATTCTTGGGGGTGTGATTATTTATCTTGCGATGTTTTATCGGCGCGGGGAGATGTTGCTCAGGAGTGGGTTGTTTTATTGTGCTGCGCCGCTTTCTGGGGCGTTTGGGGGTTTGTTGGCGAGTGGGCTGGCGAGGATACGGGTTGGTGGGTATGAGAGGTGGCCGTGGATATTTTTTAGTAAGATTTTATCTTTTTCTTGTTTGAGTCTTGAGGTGGATAGTCGCAGTTGAATTTGAAAGTGCTGACGAGTTGGATAGTTGAGGGTGCGGCAACGGTAGTTTTTGGAATTGTGTGCTTCTTCTTTATGCCGGATACCCCTGCTGCAGCGCATTTTCTTACGGATGAAGAGAAAGAGTGGGCACTGCGTCGGATGCGTATTGATGCAGGTGGATCTTCCGATGTTGATGTGGATGACGAGAAGTTTAGTTGGTACTGGGTCAAGATGGCACTCTCAGCTCCTCAAACATATCTCTCTGCTTTCATTTGGTTCTTTCTCCTAGTTCCCTTATACGTGAGTATCATAAAGCCACCAGTTCTCGATTGGTGAAGATTTGGACGATACTGACGTAGTCTTAGAGTTTCTCATTATTCCTCCCGAGCATTATAGCGGGAATGGGATATCAAAGTACAACAGCACAGCTCTTTACTGTACCTCCAAACATGGCCGCGTTTATTACAGTCATCGGCACAGCGTATGCCTCTGACCGACTTAAGAACAGAGGATACTTCATTATCGGAGGTTGTGTTCTGGGTATATGTGGATATGTAATGTTGATCGTGGCAAAGACCAACGCAGTGCGGTATGGCGGGACCTTCTTGGTTGCTATTGGTGTCTTCCAGGGCTCGCCTATGCTCATGGTAAGCTTCCTTCTCGTTCCATCTACCGTATTGTAGCTGACCGATAATAAGGGCTGGGCATCAAACAACCTCGCTCCACACTATGTGCGAGCTGTTGGGATCGGGCTCATCATCTCCATTGCGAACTGCTCGGCCTTCATCGGAACGTTCATATATTTACAGCGCGACGCCCCGAGATACATTCTAGGACATTCGATTAGTCTTGGGGCATTGGTCATTACAATCATCTTAGCAGGTATGCAATGTCTGTATCTCAGCTGGGAGAACAAGAAGAGGGAGAATGGCGATAGAGATGACAGGATACTGCAAAGCGATGCTGGCACACTTGGACATCAGCATCCGAGCTTCAGATTTACGCTCTGATTGTAATTTGATATAGGACCAAACGGTGTTTAATGAAGATATGCAATCTGATTAGCTCTAACAACCTCTGCTCGTTCACCAGAGCCACACCAAGAGGCCAGGAACTCCCGTCTCTCAGCCAGCAGCCAGCAGTCGCAGCGACGGGTAAAGCTGCGCCCTTGTTCGGTACTGCTTACGGGCTGTGATGATGATGTTTGGTGTCGCGACAGCTGTTGACTGGTGTCGTCCGTCCTTGCTGGTCTCCTGTTGATCTCACCGGCAGCAATCTGATGGGTGTGGCTGGTGAGCGGTAAGGGGCTGGCCAATCGGTAAGTGCCGCTCGGCCTCCCCCCGGCACAGCGACGGCTATCGGTTAGTCGCATTCGCACCGCCATCGTCAGCCACACTAGTCACTCCATTCTCAGCAAGTGGGACGAGCGGCACGAGTCAACAGCCGTCGCTGTGCAGGGGGTGAGGAGCGACACCAATTGACAGCCGTCGCTCGCCAGCCCCCTGTCGCCCACCAGCCATAATCACGTGCACTCTCACTCACATCAATTCACCTTCTTATCTTTTACAACAGCCACCCCCCTCTGTGTCGTAGCAGTAGTTTTGTTCCATGGCTTCAAACTTCCGCCCCCAACTGCCCACCCAATCGCCATAACAAACAACGTGAACGGGATCGCAGTCAAAAAGTACCATCCATATGTCGCCTTCAGCGCCGAAACACTCTCGTTCATGCTGTACAAGCCCGCAACGAATGTCAGTGGGATGAACACAGTCGCCAGCCAGGTGATGCGCGCCATATCGTGACTCTCTTTGAGTCCGCGCCGCGAGTCTTCGATGGAAATCTCGGATGTCACGATGCTTGTGAGACGATCGACTCGTTCCTGGAGTTCGTTGACTGTGGCGAGGACGCGTCGGAAATCAGGCACAATGTCCTCGAAGCCATCGATGTTGTCGAAATTAATGATGACGTTGTCTGGTATGACGGACCGGGCCGTGTAAGAGATAGGTGAGGATGGTGCGATTGCGGACTGTGGCGATGGGGATGTCAGGCGTGCTGCGGCTGGAAGCGCGTGCTCCAGTGTCTCTGCTACCATTTCTCGGAAAACTGGTATGTGGCGGCGCCATGTATGCAGACGGTTCAGTGAGTCGTCAATGGCGTCGCCTTTGGATCGGAAAAGATGCGGCTTTTCTAGCTCCCATTCTATCTGACTCAGGCGCGTCTTCACGTAGTCGCATACTATGAGCCATTCTGCACAGATGGTGTAGATGGTTGGTTTGGCGAGGACTTGCGCGTTGATTTCGTGGCCTTCTGATCGTTCAAACCATGGGAAGGCGGTTGTCATTTGCACAATGTCTTCGAACCACGAGACGGATGATTTTATCGATGGATAGATCTCTGTTTCTATCTTTGGGGTTGGCAGCCAGTTACTGCGGTCATACCCTGTTGAGGTTAGTTTGGCTTACAACAGTTGTTTTCCAGACTGGCTGAGCCATGGTGGAAAGAAACACTTACACAGTGGCCGCCCTCGAGTGACTGTTGGATCCAGTAACACGATGCCAACTGTTCCATATCCACACTCCTTGTCTTTTCCAATCCACATACAAGTGCGCGTACGCATGATGGACACTACGGCGCCTTCTTCGTCCAAATAATGCCAGTGATTTTCATCATTGTCGGGACGGCGGAGGACATTCCAAGTATTAGCCTCTAACCTTGAATGTTTAAAATCTTCCATTGTCCTATAGTATCGCAACCGCATGTTCCGCATCCTAAACCATTGACGGTGCTTCATGCTAGAAACAAGGGCAGGCGGTGCTGCCCATGGGTCTCGGGTATTGTACCATACATAGTCGGCAATCTGTTCACGGAAAAACAGCGGATCAATGTCAAATCGCTTTCCCAGGAGTTCTATGACCTGCTGAGAAAGGTCTTCTACGACGAACAGCCGAAGAGGAGGCTCCTTCGAGGGCTCATGTGAAAACGATTCAAGAGTCTCACGAAGTGCCGAGGGTGTCTTGATGGGGAATGCTTTGGGTTTGGATGCGGGCCTGTACTCGACAAACGTGATGTTTGTCTTATTTGCACGCCGTTCGCGCTCTCCAGGGGTCTTCTTGATTTCATTCCATCGTAGTGGTGTTGTACCGACCTGCATCCAATCGGCCAAGTGGCGGAGCGTCTTCCATGATGTTGACAACGACTTGATATGAGCCAAGTAAGGCAACCTTTCACTTCTCCTGCGAAGATTTAGCATTCAACTCGATGTTACAGCGTGATTTCTAAACAACGTACGGGTCAGGGATTTCCCACTCAGCCGCTACTGTCGCTTTTGGCTCATATGCGTCTCCAATCAATTCATATGGATCTGGAAATTCCGCACTATGAGGGATGTATTTCGCAGACCACAGTGCAGGTATCGTCTCGTCTTTCTTCGCCAGTGGTGCGTCGCTCTTTGCAGAATCGGAAGACATGGCCGCTACCGGGACCTGCCAAGGCAAATGTGAAGAAGAGATGGAAATCTCCAAAAATAACGACTGAATGTACAGGGAAGGGTGGCACGAGGGTTATAAAGGCGCAAGGCGGATTTACGGCGTTTTTGGGGCCAAAAACTGGAGCAGGCTGAGGCTGAGACTTAAGCGCGGCGATCCTAGGTTCCATGTGGGAACAACTCGGGACGTTCACCGCCACACGCGCGCCTAAACGTACACCTCAGAAGCTAGGATACGTGTTGACTTCTTGCATACACATGATATTTGATGAGAGTATTCCAGTTATGTCTGTGGATTGGCTAGTAGCAGTGTGAAAGCTTGACGAAGCCAAGTATACGGAGGTGTCAGCTGAAACCAACAGAACCAATGCAGGGTGTACGTATGCAAGTTTTAGGCCACCTGCAGCAGCGTAGGCAACACAGGAAATGTGAACACATTTGGAGCCGCATGAAGGCCGCCAGCAAACCAGGCTCGAGGGCCAATCAACAGGTTTTGCAACGGCTTTGGGATTGCATCCACACGCGCATGTTGTACGCCAAAACGTAGGATTGACGTTAAGATGGTGTTCGGCCCGTTCTCCTCGGGTAGCACCGACGTTTTAACAATAAACCGCGCCGGTTCGTTCTCCTCCTATATTTCTGGTTAGTCTGTGTTTCCAAAGTCACCAGCTGAAATCAATCTAACTTCTTGTAGTGTTGTATTGAACTTTTGAAGTAAAAAGCAAGAAGCCTAGACTCCCCCGCACGACACGAAGATCATCCGTGGGGAGAAACGCGGGGTGTGCTTCACCTCGGATGTTCAATATGGAAATGTTTTACCTGACTGTACTTATGCTGTGGTTCTGGAGGCCTCAAATGAATCCTAGAAGTCTTCTGGCCAGCAAATTGCCTGGCCTTTCCTCGTTTTAACATGACACACGATATCTTGAAGCCGCATTGGTCCCGGTTCCTAGGCCCCGAGTCCCCAGATCCTCGTGAATTCAAGTACCAACCTACTAACGAACCAATATTCACGTCACCATACGGTCCCTTTCCGCCTACACCAGATGATCTCAACATCCACGAGCTTTGCTTCCCACCAAAAAATCCGCTGCCTGAAGACTACCCTCTCATCATCAATGCAGTCACGGAGGAAGTTGTTACTCTTCATAGCTTCTATGCTCGAGTCTGCGCACTGGCACGTGTTCTGCGCCATGACGGACCAAACCCACTAGGCTTAGGTAGAAGCCCTATCGATGACACCGAAGAGGGCGAGATTCTAGCGTTGTTCTCACGAAATCATATCCATTACCCAATGGTAGCACATGCATGTTTCCGGTCGCAAGTAGTGTTTGGCGGTATCAGTCCAGCAAGTACACCATACGAGCTATGGTGGGTACTCAGAAAGATGCAGATAACAAGTATCATGTGCCACGAAACATTACTCCCAGTCCTGAAAGAAGCAATCAAGCTGGGATCCGGAGATGGCGACAATCTCCCTTTGAAACTCAAACTAAACCCAGCAAAAATCATTGTACTAAGCGACAACTCAAACCTCGATACTGTATCCGGATATCGTACAATCGAATCCCTCGTAAAACAAGGCTCCCAGCTCCCCGAGCAGCCACGCAAACTCCACGGCGGAAACCGAATGGCATACCTGTTCCAGTCCTCCGGCACCTCTGGCCTCCCAAAGGCAATGATGATAACTCACACGAACGGCCTGCACTCCGGTCTCCAATCCCTCATAACCTCTGTCCAAACCGCTCGCTTCACTGGCAAACAACCCCTAACCCCCGTCACCACCTTGGGCGTAATCCCCATGTACCACTCGTACGGCATGATCGTCTGGATCCTCCGCATCAACCTCCTCAAAAACACAACTATCATGCTGCCAAAATGGGACTTGCGCCTCGCCCTGCACAGTATCCAGAAATATAAAATAACGCATTTACATCTCGTCCCCCCGCTCGTCCGTCAACTCGCCCAGAGTCCATTAACAGAGCAATACGATTTGAGCTCCGTAGTCAGTGCGGGAAGCGGCGCCGCGTATCTCCCTCCAGATGTGGCATACCAACTGGCTAAGAAACTGCCGCAAGGAGCTGCGACACCGATTCCCAGCGGCTACGGACTCAGCGAGGCGGCTAGCATCGCGAGTCCGGGTGTCCACGGGATTTTTGGGCTGGAGCCTGCGTTGCCGGGTACGATTGGGTATTTACTATCGGGTATGTCTGCACGAGTTGTTGATCCTGAGACTCTGAAAGATGTACCTAAGAGTGAAAAGGGAGAACTCTGGGCAAGAGGAGCGGTAGTGACGCCGGGGTACTTTAAAGATGCAAAGGCGACGGCTGAGTTGTTTGCGGAGCCCGGGTGGCTGCGGACGGGGGATTTGGTTATGCGGGATGAGTGGGATCGGATTCACTATCTTGATCGGATTAAGGAGATGATTAAGGTGAAGGGGTTGCAGGTTGCGGCGACGGAGGTGGAGGATACGTTGCTGGATCATCCGGAGGGGCTTGTAAGGGATGCGTGTGTTGCGGGGGTTGATAATGGGAGAGGTGATGGGTCGTTGTTTGTTCGTGCGTGGATTGTTCTTACGGCAGAAGGGGTGAAGCAAGAGGAGGAAGAGGTAGCGAGGAAGCTGCATGAATGGGTCCAAGAAAGACTGAGTCGGCATAAGTGGTTGACTGGTGGGATTGAGGTGGTTGATTCGGTATGTATTGTTTGGTTTGATAGGAAAGTATGGTTGCTAACGATATGCGCAGATACCTAGGACACCATCGGGTAAGATGCTGAGACGTGAGATGAGGGATCGATATCATGAACGGATGAAGAAAAGTGGGGGGGCTAAGCTATGATTCAGAACACTGGTATACATTTATAGACAGCACTCAATACCTCAAGTACAACCCTCAAATCCCAGGTCTTCATTCAATCAATTCCTTGCAGAACCCGCATTCCGTCTTATGGCGTCCGAGGCAATCGACAGTACCATGTCCCAACCCAAGACAACCCGACCCCCAAATCCCCTTCACTGTTTCTCCTTGATAACTTTCTTTCCCTTCTTCCCCTTCTTCTTCTTACTCTTCCTCTTGTAACCAGACACAGCTTCATCCTTCTCTTGTACCACCTCCTCGCCCTCATCACTGTCCTCAAACCCCTCCCAAACCTCATCCTCAACCTTGGGACCCTCCTCATACGCAACACTCTTCTGCTTCGCCACTTCCGCAAGCTTAGCCGCCAACTCCATATTCTCCTTAACCAATACCAGCTCCCTCCTCTTCCTATCCCTCGCCCTCCTCTTCTCATTCTTAGCCTTCCTCTTCTCCGCCTTACCGTCCTTATCTTCCTTTCCCTCCCCACCCCCCACTCTATTCACAGCACCTCTCAACTCCTTCGCCTCTTCCTTCAAATTCTTAACCTCACCCTTCAACTCCTGGTTCTCATCCACCACAGAATTGAGTACGCGTTGCAGCTCCTCTTTGTCGCCCTCAAGCCCCTCGATAAGCAGCGCCCGTTTCTCATCCTCTTCACCCCGACACTTCTGCATCTTTTCCCTCAGCGCCTGATTATCCTCTCTCAACATCTCCATCTCATCCTTCAAGCCCTCATTCTCCTCCACCACAGAATCAAGTAAGCGCTGCAACTCTTCTTTCTCTCCCTCAAGCCCCCCGATAAGAAGAACCCGCCCCTCATCCTCTTCACCCCGACACTTCTGCATCTCCCCTCTCAACCCCTCATTCTCCATCCTAAACGCCTCATTCTCCTCCCCCAATCTCTCCATCTCCTCTCTCAAACACCCATTCTCCTCCCTCAACCCCTCCCCCTCGCTCCTCAACCCCTCCGCCACCGCTCGAACCGCAATCATCTCCTCCTCCATCCTCCCATTACACTCCCGCAGCAACTGCATCTCCGTCTTGGCGCTCTCATCCATCTCCTGCGCTTTAGCCTTCCACATAGTAATCTCCTTGCGGAGAAGCGGCTCTTGCGTGGATGGCGCGATGCCGTTTTTCTGTTTAACGGCGTCTTGGAGCTGCGCGATGTAGTCTTGAGTGTGCTTTTTGTCTTGTTGGAGGAGGACTTCGTGACGGTTTAAGGAGGCTTCGCCGAGGGCGAGTTCGAGGGCGTGGCGCGTGGCGGGTAGGAAGGTGTGGTCTTCTGGGGGTGCAGGGGGTGTGGAGGGGAGATGAGGGCGTGGTGAGTTGGTGGTGCTGTTGTTCTTTTGTCGGGAGACTAGGGATTTGGATGGAGGAGTCTGTGGTATGACATCTTTTGGTGATGCTGGTTTGCGTGGCGTCTGGGGAGCTTGACTTTGAGCTGGTTGGCTCGCTGGCTGTGAGAAGATGATGTCGTTCATTGTGTCTGAAGACGGGGCCAGAGACAGTGTCTGGGTGGGTCGGTTTGCCATGTTTACAGTGTAGAGTAGGTTTTCTGTAAAATTTGAGGATTGGTGTTAAGACAGTGGTCTTGAAGAGCAGGATACCTCCCGATACGTGTTATGAATGCGGTGAAATGAAAGCAAACTCTCTCATGATGAGCGGGCCGTGTAGGGTGAACGTGAATGTGAACCTGCCTCTCTTTCAGCATAGCGCCATTTCATGGTACTTTCAATACAAACAGTATGAGTTGTTCACATAGAAAGTGTCAGGGGTTCAGAAATGAAGAGTAACGTCACCATCCTTGAAGACCCCAAACCAGAGGAAGTATTCGCAGAGACCCTTCTCAAGGACAGTCACGAAGATTCAGTGGGCCAGAAAAGTATGTCTTGTTCATAACTCTGTCGCTAATCCAAACAACAAACACAATACAGAATGCCGCGTAAAAGAAACCCTCTATTTCTTCTTGAACAATCCTTTTCCAAGCAGGTTCTTGAGCTTGCTTTCCTTCTCCTCATTGCTCATATTCGCTTTCCTCTTGCCCTCAGTCACAGACGCTCCTTGAGATTGATTTGATTGCGACTGAGCCGGCTCTTCACGCGCGGGTTCCTCAACCTTCAATGTTTGAGCTTTTGCCTGCCACTCCGACGCAAGTACATGTCGACTCGCCCTTGCCTCTGCGCTTGCGTTTTTGGCCCATTGGAATGTGACAAGTTCGTTGTTGAAAAAGCGCAAATCCTGTACTAGCCGCTTATCGTCTCGTGGGATTAGAACTAGACGACCTGTTGGGCCTGTGTTCTTAAGTTGGAAAGGCTCGTTCTTCTTCTCTAAGAAATCGCGAACAAAGTCGTATAGACCAGCTGCAGTATCGTTCTTGTTAAATGACATCTGAATAAGCGCACCATCGGGCATGCGTATGCGTAACGAACCACCCTTCTCGGCCGCTGCAGCGATCTTGGCTTGTCGTTCTTTCTCTTGTTCTTCGAGTTCTTTGTCAGAAAGTAAGCGTGTGTTTTTGGTCTTGTTCAAGAGCGCATTTTGATGCGCTTTTGCATGTTCGATGGTCGGAAGGTAGTCGTTCTCGTTGAAGGCGTTTCGTGCTGCTTGTGGCGTGGATGAAGTTGGGGCAGAGAAGATTTGGACATTGCGAGACTTTTCGGCGGGCTGCGATGTATCCTGGGCAGGTTGTGATAGAGGCTGAGAGGGCTGTGCTGGTACAGATGACGCCGTTGAAGTTGCTGCCGCTAGGGCTGCAGCGGGAGAGGTATTTTCGACGTTCTCTGCTGCGTATTTCTCTGTTGAAACCTCCTGTTCCTGTACAGGCTGAGCTGCAGTTTTCGGTTCAACCTCCATCGGTTCTGGGTCAGGCTCGTCATTGCGCACGGTCTCACCAGCAACAGTTTCTGTTGCCTCAGGAGCGGCTTTGGCCGGGTCGGGTATCGAGGCTAACTGACTGGTTGTTGAAGCATGTGCCCCCTCTGCTCCAGCGGAAGGCTCCCTAGGCTTAAAATACTGTGATATTTGCGCCATAGCTTCTTCTAGCGGAGTGCCGCTATTTCTATACGACAATTTCAGCAAAGCTGATCCGCTGTCGAAGCCCAACTGGCTGAGTGTTTGTTGTAGCTCAACAAAGCTCGACTGTTCTTTATGACCAGGCATGACAGTTATGACGGGCTGCTCATAATGTAACCTTCCGGCACCGGATGCACCACTCATTTCAGGTATACCGCGCTGGGTAAAGTTGTAGTTGGCCCCTGGGCTACTCTCGAAATGGCGCAGAATCTCCCATAACGAGGTGTTGCTCGCAAACTTGTTTGTAAGACGTACATTCTTTTCGGTCGCTGGCAGCTGGAGCGCTACAGATATGACAGTAGGTGATCGTGATGCTTGGACAAGCTCTAACCGGGCGCCTTGAGGGAGGTTCGCAAGACGTATCTGCTGGGAGAGGGATATAGGCTTGTTATTGTATCTAGAGATATGTCAGCGGTAGAATTCATGTACAACATGACGTTCCTTACTTTAGCGTGAACTGGTCCTTGTTGACACCAAACTTTTGACACGCCTCATCCCGCACCTCGGTCAGGTACTTCGTAGGCGTAGTAGGAATCTTGAATGACCTTGCGTACGAGTTGAATACCACCACGTGCGACATTATGGGCGAAGTAGTCTATAGAGGTTGTGTGCGAGAAGGAAAGCAGTGGGTGCGTTTGCAAGAAGGATGGCACGCAAGTACCAGCAATCCCAGCGATGTGCTCTTCGGGCAGAGTCACTTCGTTCGACGAGGAGAAAGAGGGTGGCAAGATGGAGGAGCTTTGCTTCGGCGAAACTTAGGTAGAGGTCGTTTGGGCCTGCCATGCAGAGGCGATTAGGTTCTGAATGCACGCAATGCTAGGGACGGTGAACGCCAGGAGGGGCGCTTACCAATCCCGTGTGCGTGTATGGATATTTTGGAGGCCGTTAATGCTTTCCAGTAGATACGTGGTACAAAGTACCGTTTGCCTTTGGTAGATAGCGACGGTATTGATTGGAAGCGCGTACTGCTGGCGGTGATGTAAAGGGCGGCGACACAGTAAAGATCGACGTGGAGGGGGACTTGGGTGCAGCAAATCGAAGGGCCAAGTATCTTGAGTAATCAACAAGACGGAATCCGGCTCTCAATTCGCGGCTGTAAGCAGGGAATGTGGTCTTCTGGAAGCTTCGTTGTCTTGCCGCGTGGTGTATCGGTGCCTGACTACTGACTGCCCATACCCATCTACGTTCGGTGATCGTCGGTGACGGAAGAGCGACACCCCGCCCCCACTAAAACTCAAGACCGCTGCATGTCGCGCCTTTCCCAGACGACCAACAACAAGAACAGATTCCATCAATCTCTCTCGTAGAACCCACAAAAATGTCTGGAACTGTTGAAATCAAGTCGCCCGCTCAGCTAAGCTCGCTACTGTCATCCTCACGCGTCGTAGTAGTCAATTGTAAGAAGCCGCTTGTCGCCGCCGCCGCGACATACATCCAAAGACACCACCTTGCCCTGTTTTTGCTAACATTTGCCCCCTACAGTCTACAATGAACAGAACCTATCAAGCCAAACCATCGCGCCTGTATATGACCAGCTAGCCAGCCAGCTCTCAAGACCAGGAAAAGTCACCTTTACCAAAGTCAGTACAGTGCAGCAAGCACAGATTGCCCAGAGCTACAATGTTACAAAGTATGCACATACACACATTACACGAACACACAAGACACGCGATCTCTAACCAAATCGCCCATCAGTACTCCCACATTCATCATCTACAAGAACAACCAGCAAATACGCAAGTACTCGGGCTCAAATCCCCAACAACTCTCCGAGGCAATCAAGACACTCGCTGCAGAAGCCGAGAACGACGGCAAAGGCGGCAGCGGCTTCGCCAGTGGAAGTGGTGGAAGCGGCAGCGGAAGCGGAGCATGGATAGGCGCCAGCTTACCACGCGGATACACCGATGTCACCGAATCTGTCGATGTGCGCGGCCTCGACCTGCTCAACGCAGACAGCGATTTTGGAACCGTCCGGACGCTATTCGAGACATCGCCACCCTCCTCGCTAAACAAGGGCAAAGGTGCCGCAGCCAGCACAGAAGGAAACAAGGACTGGATCGAGAGCGATGTGGACAACCAGCTCATGCTGTACGTACCCTTTACCGCGAATGTAAAGCTACACACCATCCACATCACCTCCTGCACCTCAGGCAGCGACGATGATGACGACGAAGCCCCCGTGCGACCAAAGACCATCCACGTCTGGATCAACCGCCAGCACAACCTGGGCTTCGAGGAAGCAGAAGACATTCCCGCAACCCAAGTCATCGAGCTCAAGCCCTCGGACTGGGACGAGCAAACGCAGACAGCAAAGCTCGAGCTCCGCTTCGTCAAGTTCCAAAACGTCTACTCGGTCGTCCTCTTCGTCGCCGATGCCGACGGCGACAGCGAGAAGACGCGCATCGACCGCGTACGCTTCGTCGGTGAGACGGGCGAGAAGCGTGAAATGGGCAAGCTGGAGAAGATTGGTCACGATGATTGAAAGTCGCAAAACCTTCTCAATTGATAGACAACGGGCCACAGGTCCGATTCGTCTTTTGTGAGCGTTTACATGTTTTCTTGATAGAGTAGACGTCAAATGAATAATGGGGCATGCTTCTCTTCTAGAAGCAAAGACAAAAAGACATGTCTTCTAGTCTGTATTCGACATTCATAGCCCTTGAACATAATCTAGGCCTGGTGCTAAGACCTTTTTGCACATCAGTCATACCCAATGACATGACATTGCATGTGTATGTATATGTGTATGTCCACGCATCTGCTCGAGACCTCACTCACACGTAAGAGTAGTGTGAAGCCTGAGCAGCCTTGTCTCCAAGTGCAGCGCGTTTCAATTTAAGCATTTCTCGGCCCTTACTCTGCCATTGATAAGGGCAATAGAGTAGGAATTTGACATCCATGCTAGTAATAATACTTCAACGCCAGCGACATCACCATCACCACTACTATACGACATCACACCTCACACACACCATACTGCACTCGGACATGGTGTTTTGGCGTGAACCAATCGTCACATTTCATGATTTTGAGTGACACATGCTAGGTACGTTCAGGAACCGTCACTGACCATTTGCCATACTCCGATAATCGTACCATCCTTTTTGTTGTATATAAGGTATGCCTTGTGACGTTCCGAAATCGTTGTGTCGAGCCGCCCGTTTGGGAAAAAAGAGACCGAACACCCAGGGACAGAATCGGAAAGAAGGTCGCTCGTTTCGCCGTGTTTGCTACATCCACCGCACATTCATGAAACCGTTTAGTGACCCGCGCGCCTCGACTCGGCAATGACCTTGGTCATCTCGTCGACCTTTCTCTTTGAGCGGCCGAAGGTACCGAGCTGTTGCTATGTCAGCGTGTGTTCTGAGTTGTACATTGGATCGAGCGGGTGGGAAAATCGAATCGTATGTGGAAGCGCCATGGGCGGAGGGAAGACGTACCCTCTTCTTAGCCAGACGACGGGCACGCTTGTCCTTGGAGTTTCGGAGCAATTCAATGATGCGCTTCTCGTAAGGGGCAAGACTATCAGAGACAAAAATGTTAGCAACCTATTGCACAAGCAGTTGCGCAATCTGGCGCTCAGCCAAACTCAAGTGTGTAACGTACCCAGCAACCTCCTTGGTGATCTCACGCACGAAAGCAGTGCGCTTGGACAGGAAACCCTTCCTCCTGGAGATCCTGGGAGCAGGAGTCCTGGGGGTGACCTCTGTTGGCCATTGTTAGCGTCCATCCAACAATTTTTCCATCTCAGTTGTAGCGGCTCGGGGGTGTCGAAGGCGGGTTGACGGAAGACGTACTGTGGCCGGCGTTAATGCCAACGATGAGGCCTGACTTTTGCTTGACTTCTTTCGGCATCGTGACGGTCGTGATGTTGTCGATTGTCGATGGGTTCAAGGTCGCAGTTTTGCGAGGGTAATTTTGGCTCGGCTGTGCGGTGGTGCCAAGATGGCGCTAGCTGTAAGCAGGCACGTGCCCTGGCCTGAGCTACTGATGGTACGAACACCACACTCGGGCTTGATGTTATCTAGGCGAGGAGATTCTACCTTTTGGACATGCATATTTCGACTGTTGGTTTGGAAAGCTCAATGCGATCATAAAGGGCTGCGACGACTTGCACGATTAGCACGCGCACAGTTCCGGAGAAGAGAAGCGCATCTTATCGCGAAAGTATCGGCACGCTTCCATCCAATGGATCAGGATGTCGAAATATCCTATCGAAATCACCAATATTGAAGATTTCGATGCTGAGCCCTCTTTCTTTCCCACACGACCCTTTTTATCCTTTTTGTTTTTAGAAAAAACAACGACAGAAACCGAAAGTCATGATTTCTCAGAAACGACAGATGCATGTGGTCATTACAATTCAAGGTAAATGTACCAACTAAAGCTTTGCCTTCTCCTTCGCATCTTCCTCCTCCTGCGCCTTGAGCTTGAGCACCCTCCTCAGGATCTTGCCACTGATCGACTTCGGAATCTCATCCACCCACCTCACACCGCCCCTAAGCCTCTTGTGATGAGCCACCTTTGTGCTCAACCAATCTATAATCTCCTTTGCGTCTGCGTCGGTCTTGCCAAGACCATCTTTCGGTACAATGTAAGCCCTTGGAAGCTCTGTTGCGTCATCTTTGCTGTACACGCCTATTACTGCCACGTCGCTAGAGGGAAAACGTTAGCACGCATTCGATGTGGAGTATATCGGTAAAACATACTTAACCTTCGGGTGAGAGACTAGAATACCCTCAAGTTCTGCCGGTGGCACCTGGAAACCCTTGTACTTGATGAGTTCCTTGACACGGTCTGTGATGTAGAAATTGCCATCCTTGTCTTGGTATCCAACATCACCAGTCTTGAAATACCCATCAGCTGTCTTTGCCTGTGCAGTTCCCTCTGGGTTATTCAGGTACCCCTTGAAAACATTCGGTCCCTTGATCCAAAGCTCACCAACCTCACCAACGGCCATTTCTTTCTCGTCCGGAGACATATACTTGGCTGTCTGATAAGGCAACAGTTTGCCAACTGAGCCAATCGTCTTGTTCCAGTCTTGCCATGGCTGAGTGTGTGTAGTAGGGCTAGTTTCCGAGAGGCCATATCCCTGCTTTACAGGGATCTTTAGTCTGTCATACACGGCATCCACGAGCTCTCGCGTCAGTGGTGCAGCTCCAGAATTCATCATGCGGATAGTGCTAAGATCGTATTTGGATACCAAGGGGTGCTTGCTCAGTAAAAGGACAATTGGCGGAACAACATAGGCGAATGTGATTTTGAGTTCTTGGATGAACCTGCAAAAGTCCTCAAGGTCAAACTTTGGCATCACAACAAGCTGAAGACCAGAGAACAAGCTCTGGTGGATTAGACATGTTAGACCTGTGGATTGTTAGTGGATATTTCCTAGGTTCCATACAATATGTGCGGCCTACCGTAGATGTGGAAAAAAGGCAAAAAGGCTAGGAGCTTGTCTCCTTCACCAGTGGGACCTCCGGTTGGCTTCAGATTGCCAGCCTCTCCAGCTTTAATCATCATTGTGTTGGCCACAATATTTCGATGGGTAAGCATGACGCCCTTTGGATGACCAGTAGTGCCAGAGCTGTACACAAGGAATGCTAGGTCTTCAGCTGGGTTGGTCGCCTTCGTTCTCCTAAACCTCGCACTCCCAGCCGTGTTGATGATACCTGTAAAGTGTTTCACTTTGAATGAAGGGTCTCTCTGATCTCCCATGATAATAACCCTGTCCAGAGGCATCCCGACCTTCTTTGCTGCCTCTTGCGCATTTTTTATAAAGGGCAACTGTGTTACCAAGCCCTTTGCGCCAGAGTCTTTCAGCTGGAAAGCGAGTTCATCGACCGTGTAGTTTGGGTTAGCAGGCGACAGCACACCGCCCGCCCAATGACATCCCCACGTGATCGCCGGAGTGTCGATACAGTTAGGTGTGTATAATGCAAGTACATCACCCTTTTGCCAGTCCCAGAGTGCTTTCAAGCCTTTACCGAAAGTGATAGCTACATCCTTGACTTGTGCGTATGTATACGAGCGTGTGGTGTATGGATCATAGTAGATTACTATTCAGCCACGTCAGCTCGGTGTCTAGACACAGCAAGACCGTGATTAATCGTAAGACTACCTTTGTCATCTGCAAACGGCTTTTCCTTTCTCTCGAACAGAAATGCCCACTAGGAATGTCATCCGAACGTCAGCACATGGAGCCAGAATGCGAGCTTATTCCCGGGGCGGGAAGACACTCACAAGATCCACATCTGGGATGGGCAAGCTGGGGTACTGGCTCTCGGAAGGCATCTTGGCAATTCGATTCAATTTGGTGATATGCTACTCGGCTTAAGAAGCAGGATGTAAAGTGGAAGGAAGCCAAAACGAGAACGGCAGACGCGTTCTACCTGGGACCTCGGGCGGAACGCCCTACGGTCGGAGGCGGCTTGTCAAGGGCGTGCGACGATGTTAGAGCCGGGGTTCACCCCACACGTGGGGAGTTCCAGGGCCGAGGCTCTTTCCGCTTTCGGTGTTAGCGCGGAGATAGCAGCTGGGTGCTTCCGAGGTCCTCATTGCGGTGTGACGTCCACCGTGGATGTTATCTGATAATATCAACATTACCCATGTAAAGGGCGCCGAGAGATACATACTCAGTTCAACATTTGACAGGTCGCCATTATGCCGGGTTGGCGCGAAGCTACCACGGTGCAGAAGCTCTCCACAAACACCTACTCCTGTACACTACATGATGATTGGTGCATCGGAACTGGTACGTACAGATCCGACATACTACCATCGCAATGGGTCATCCTTACTGACATGCGTAGTCCCGAACGGTGGATATGTTACCGGATGGTGAGAGAACCTCAAGAGCGCGCATACGCGTCCACTAACCAATCCATGTCAGTCTCCTGGAGGTAGTCAAGGCACATTTTAGCTCCACCTTGTCAGCACAAAACCAACCTCACACAATTGCTCTGCATGTGGAGTTCTTGCGACGAACCCAAGCCGGGCCAGCGACCTTCACTGTTGACGATGTCAAGCTCGGTCGCCAGACCTCTATCGTGCACGTGAGCATGCAGCAGGATGGGCGACAAGAAATCGTTGCCTACGTAACCAATTCCAACATGGACACGGAATCAGGCTTCTCTTACGATACAGAGTACCAGCTCTCGCCCCCAGTAGCCTCTGTCGATATATCAAAGCTAGAAAAAGGCGAAGATCCATTGTGGGAACGGCATGCTGAATTGCCATACGCCAGCTTCCGCAAAGCGACTAGCAAAGTCCTATTCCACTTTCCACGACAAGGCCATCCTGCCGCAAATACGGCAGACGAATGGATCTGCTTTGCAGACGGCAGCACCTTTAACGACTCCTCGATTGGATTTGTGGCAGACATGTTTCCGCAGCTTGTCGAGAGGTTCAAGGAGAAGGGCACAGGCCCATTCTGGTACCCGACTTTGTTGTTGAATCTCGATTTCAAGAAGTCGCTACCTGCCGAGGGCGTCAAGTGGCTACGGGTCAGGGTGGAGATGAAAAAGGTTTTCAATGGCAGGATGGACATCGAGGTGTTTGTACACGATGCCGAGGGCGAGTTGGTGGCTCTGAGCCATCACGTGGGACTTGTTGTGGACGCTAGTAGGAACACGGCTGCGAGACGGGTCGGCGATGCCAAGATGTAGAAGTGACGTAGGCTGTAGGTATGGGAACCGATTTATAGAAACATGACGAGCGGTAGACATAATTTACCATGACAGCACGGATGCCGCAGAATTGTACCGTAGAGTAATTGCATGTCAACAAGGTAGACTCACAGTTGAGTAATAGCTTAAAAATGTCTTTTTTGATTGTTCGAAATTGCCATGCATCCCGCAGTAATTGAGGTCCGCAGATGTAGGTAACGCGTGATTATGTATTTTTCATCTTTTTTCAAACGCCAATGATGCCATCTGCTCAATATCCGTTGCACTCCAGCAACACAGTTCCATGCTCATATGTATTCTCTCGACAGTCCAATCAGAAAGCGCTTATTTTCCCTTGGGGTTGTTGTACTGCTGCTCGTAGAACTTGTCTGGCCAGACAGGCTATAACACGATGTATTAGCTTTTATCTCCACACACGCCATGCCACATAAAATGGCTCACCTCGCTCTGCTGATTACTAATGTTCTCCTTGAAGTACTCTGAGTCAGGACCCTTGTTGGGACCACCATGTCTTCCCTCGTTGGCCGTCGAGTTACCTGCAAATGCATGTCAGTAAATTGTGCGTTGACTTCCAGATGGTTAGTCTGGGGCTTCAAAGGTACCCGTACCGCGCTGGCTCGCAACAGCGGGAGTATGTGTGGGCGAGGCGCCGCCGGAGGAGAAGCGGTCCTCGACGTTCCGCACGCCCTGGGTCTTGTAAGGGTTGGGGAACCAGTATTGGCGCATGTAGAGGTAGTAGCCGAAGCCGACAGCACCGCCAGCCATGAAGATTTTGGGCACGGAAAGAGGAGACATGGTTGCTTGTGCGCTTTGGTATCTGTCTAGTTGCACTGGGACGGGTGTGGGTGTGGTGGTGTGAGGGTGTGATGTAGGCGCGTGATATTTTTTTGAATGTCAAAGGTGAGCAAGTGAGGTCGGAATGCAATTGGAACTTGGGCTTGGGGGTTTATTCAAGAAACAGGGCAGTTTTTAGACCGTGGAGAAAGAAGCAAATAGTGCAACCGGCCCCAAGATCTGGGCGACTCTTCTATCCCGTCAATTCATATACCCAATTGCACGCAACGGGGAGGCGTTGTGTTTGTGTCGCGATGATCGCGTCATGGCTGCGTACTTTGGGCAAAGCTTCTTTCCGAGGACACTCGGACCCACTCTCGCCAGGCACTGCTGTGCCACACCTCTGCTCGCTGACGTAACGCGCATGTGGCACAGCACTGTGGCTGGCGTTTAATTTTAGTCTGCTTGGAGAGCCCTTGGGGGAAGTGGACACGCTATCTTGCATGGAGAATTGATTACCTTGCCCCCTTTGCGCCCACGCGACCGAGGGTTTTTTAAGAAGAGACAGGATTGAATTCAGCGTGGACACTTTGTTGAGCGTGCTTCATGACTGCTCGACACAAGAAAAGCTGGGACGCAGCCACGGCCACTACACTCTACGCGCAATCGAGATATGGACGGTGATCCTGCCATTGAGCCGGAAATCGATGGCTTCACTCGCATCCTACCCTTACCATACCGCGTTGCTCTCATAATTGTGCTTGGTATGCATAGCCCTATTGGCGATTGGCTGTCACCCAGCCTCCTGCTGCCCTTCCCATACCCTATGCCTCCAATGTTGCTCGCGACTGACAACCTATACAGGTATATGGGCATGGGGCCTCAACCTTCACTACCTCTCCCTCATAAAAATCGATGTCCCCTCTCTAATCCGCTATCCATCACGCGCCTCGCCACATCACCCGTCCCATCACCTCTCCTGTTACCGTATCGCAACCTTCCTCTCCATCCCTCTCGCCCTCTCGCTCCTACTTTTCTGGGCGCTTACCCACGGTAGCACCAAAGCCATTGCAGATTGGGAGATCCTTCCAAACCTCTACCTACTCGTCCTCGTCATAGGCTTCGTCGCGCCAGTGCCTTTTGTCAGCCGCAATGGACGCTCGCGCACACTCGCAACGTTGAAGCGCATCAGCACTGGTGGCATTGCCGAAGCGCAAGATGGGAAATTTGGAGACATATTGCTTGCAGATGCGTTGACAAGTTATGCCAAAGTCCTTGGTGATTTGTTTATTTCATTGTGCATGTTCTTTTCGTCGGGACAACGCTCTACTGCTGCGCCTAACCGCAACTGCGGTGGAACTTTCTGGGTCCCCTTTATCATTGTGGTCCCCTATTTGATCCGCTTTCGGCAATGCATTACGGAGTACTACCGGGTCAAAAGAGGAAATGAGCGTACCGGCCAGATCAATCCGGCCACTGGTTGGGGAGGCACGCACTTGGCCAACGCAGCAAAATATTCGACCGCGTTCCCCGTCATCATCCTGAGCGCGTTGCAGCGCTCGCCCGACCCTTCGAGCTTCGGCGTCTCAGAAGCCACGCTCTATCGCATGTGGCTCTTCGCTGTCATTGTAAACTCTGGCTACTCCTATTACTGGGATGTAGCCAAGGACTGGGATCTGACACTCTTCTCCAGTGCCCGGATCCGAAATTCGCCCGAATATCCCTGGGGCTTACGCCGCCATCGTTGGTTCCACGCAAAAGAGTTTTACTATGCTGCCGTTGTCGTCGATGCCCTGCTAAGATGTACATGGAGCCTGAAACTCAGTGTACACCTCGACCACTTCAATGATTTGGAAGGTGGCATCTTTACAATGGAAGTGCTCGAGGTGATTAGAAGGTGGATATGGATCTTTTTTCGTGTGGAGACTGAGTGGGTCAGGAACCACAAGGGCCCAGCCCCCGACGATGTTTTACTAGGGGATGTGGGTGCAGGGAACAGGTATGATGATGATAGTGACTAGACAACTAATCAGCCTTCAAGTGTACCGTACTGGTCCATGTTCACTGCTGCGCTATTCATGTACTTTTATCTCGAAAGGGCAACTCCATCCTCTAGGCTGATCAACGGGTATTGTCTATAGCCTAATTCCCTATCGCATCGCCTATTTTTACAAGGTTTCAATGGCTATACGAAATCAAGTCTGCACGAATTGCATACCATGTCGGGACTAGCGTATCTCATCATACTACCTCAACCATTTGAGTTGCAGCCAGTTTTTTGGGGCGCATCACGAGTATTACTCAATCCTGTGGCTGCTTCGGCATATTCCATTGTTACGTCCTTGGCTCGGCAATTTACCAGGAGAGTGCTTTATCCAACCCGTGCTTCATTAGTCACAGTCCGAGAACCGACAGTACGATGGTGTTCCGCGGAATCCCATCTAAAGCCTGCGAAAGGTGCAGGAAGAGAAGATTACGTGTACGCTCCGCATAGAATTATTACTGTTCAGAGCTTAACTTGGCCCTAGTGTGACCTACAGCGCCCCCATTGCAGCTCGTGTGTACGCGTAGGAATAGCATGCAGCGGGTATCGAGATACCTCCGAGTTGCGGTTCAGTGATGAATCTGAGCTTGTTAGGAACAGATTCCTAGCAAAGGCTAACAATGAAGCTATTACACGGCAGAACCTGGGTGCTGACGGCATACCCAAGATCAAAGTCCAGCACCTACCTCAAGACCTACAAGTCATAAGTCGCGACATGTTCTTTAGATACTACGTCTCGGATTTTGGTCGGTTGTGGGGTTTTCTGAACGACTATCTCGACTCGCCCGATGCCCCTGCCCATATCACACTCGAAATCGAAGCAGTCAGCCTGGCGTTCCTATCCCATCAAGTCTCATCACAGACGGCACGGAATCTCGGGCGCAGAAAGTACTGCGAGGCACTCCGCAGCATCAACGCATTGCTTCAGACACCCGGCGCAGCACAGGCAAAGTCCACATTCGAAGGCGCACTCCTCCTCGACCTCTTTGAGAAACTCTCCAAATCCGCGTCCGCCATCGGAGATGACAAACACACACATGTCGCAGGCGCCTTCGCGCTCGTCAAGCTCAGGGGTGTGGAATCCTTCACAGCCCAAGAGATAGCAGCGGTAACAGGTCTATCTTTAAACGGCACACTCACCGCACTCAGCACAGGCAGAGCCACAGATACCATCATACGCCAGATACGCCACCACGCGGCCCAATTCCTCGACACCTCCGACCCCAAATGGAAGCTCACGGGCCTCATCCTCGAAGCCACCGACCTCGCCGCCTCCGTCCTCCACGGCACCACAACCATCGCCGAAAAAATAACCCGAAACCTCTACCTCGACAACGAACTCGCCGCCATCGCCTCCTCCGCCTCCCCCTTCTGGACCTACACTTCCCACCCCTTCCCCGCCGCCGACCCCAAAGGCGCCCTCCCAGCCCACCTGCCCCCAACCTACACCATCTACCCCTCCCGCACCATAGCCCAAATGTGGAACGTCCTCCGCCTAACCCGCATCCTTCTGTGCGAAGAAATCCTCGCCTCCCTCCCTTCCACCCCTTCCTCCCCTTCCGCCCTCCTAACCGCCTCCTGCTCCAAAACCACAATCCACCAAATGACAAGCGAGATATGTGCTTCACTGCCTCACATGACAAATTGCGCCTACGCAGCCCGCCACAAGCTCCCTGGAGGTGAGAACCCGGAAAAACAGCATACACACACCGTCCCGCATACGCTCGACGTCTACGTTATGATCTTCGCCGTCTACGTGGTAGCGTGGGCACCGCATGCCGCGCCTCAGAGTCGCGAGTGGGGAGTCAAGCAGCTGGAGAATATGGCGACGCATTTTGGGAGTCAGGAGGCTAGTGTTATACTTGAGGTTTTGAGACGGCAGAGAAGGGGGGTAGAGGAGAGTACGAGGTGCGTTTGTATTCACGTTATGTGTTTTTTTGTTTTGTTTTTTTGTTTTCGTGTGTGAGTTGGGGCTGATGGCATGTTTTTTTAGGGATAGGAGTGGCAGTGCAAGTGCAAGTGCGAGTGCGAGTGCGGGTCGCGGGAGGTATCCGGATAGTACGGCGTTGACGCTGGGTTTGCCAATTGATTGGTATATGGGGCCTGGGGATCGGTTTGCTAGGATTGGGGAGTAAAAATAGTGAGAAGGCAGGCGGACGGACGAACGGGGAATGGGTGGGTGTAAGGTAGAGAGGGGAAGTGGGGATAGGTGGGATTGCATAGAGAAGGCTGCGTCAAGCGGGTTAAAAAGGAAATACTCAGGTATAAAGGGAAATGGAATTGCATAGCGTAGGTAGGGGAGTTTTGGGTGGGGTGTGGGAAAAGGAAAAAAAGGGAGAAGATGGATATGGAGCATTGGATAGGCGTACGGTGAGCGGTATGAGAGACAGATAGAGATGAATGCATAAATAGCGTTGTTTGTTGATATCCTTCTTAAGCACGACAAGAAAGACAAATATGAGTGCCTGAGGAAAGGGGACAGACAGACCTCATTTCTGAAAGAGAAAACAACATCATCAGGAACGCATAGAGTAGGAAAAAACAGTATAAGCAGTGTAATATTTTGATTCGTATTAGCTTTTAGACATCTTCCACTCATTTTCCTTCTCCCTCCTCACCGTTCTTACACCATCATCATCATCTCCTCCCCCTCCGCCCACATCGCTCATCACCACACCTCATTAACCCCCAAATGGACATGAAATTTTTTTCTCCTTCGCAAAGAAACAAGCTCCTCAAAGTGGCTTGAACCTCCTCCACTCATAAATCGAAGGAGGAAGAGGTCGTGCCAATGAATCAAACAAGAAGACGAAAAAAAGGACAAAAACGTAAGGGCAGATGGTACGAAAGCGCAACCATCGCCATCGCCGTTGCCACGCAGTATACAGGACCATCGCACAGTCCGCCTAAGCTCGTACTGGAAATTCTATAGTGGGGTTGAAAAGAGAGAGTAAAAAAAGGAGTAATATATATAAACAGGTATGCAAGGTAGAGTACAGAGCAGGCCGGGCATGATGGGGGAAGCAGTAGCGTTGAAGCATTTGATCGATGGGCGTTGAAAGAAGGGAGAGGAAGAAGAGTGCAATACCAAAAGAAGGGAGGAGGTCGTGCATGTAGAAGAAGACAAGGGGGAAGGGGGGTATGTACCGTTGAAAATTCCCTAATTAAGGAAGCCCTTGCAACCGATTGAGCCGCAGAGACAAGGAATACGATCTGTAGCATCGATTTCACGCTCGAACTTGTAGTCGTAGGTGAGTTCCTCGTCTGGAAAGTTAAGTTAGTATTATTGGGTTGAGAACACGAAGACAACTTACCAGACTGAATATCCCTCAACGCATAAATGACAATACGCTTGGTGTTGTCGACGCGGATAATCTTGGCTGTACAATTGGGCGTGCAAGAGTGATTGATAAAACGGGCAATACCACCCATCTTTGTCGCATCAATGACCGTATCTTCGTCAATTCGGAACAGGTAACTTGATCCCACGCCTTGCATGTCGTACTTGGCTTCTCGGAGATCGGCCACACGCTGTCGAACCTTTTCACCAACGTACTCGATAATCATGTCGTTGACAGCAATCGGTTCTTGGGCGTACAGACCCCAGTTATGGATGGCTGAACGGTCGAACTTGACGAGCTTCTTGCGCTTCTTGAGTTGATTGAAGCGGAGAGCGTCACCCTCAGCTCCGGAAAGGTTCTTGGAGATGTTGATGTCATTGACCATACGGCGATTGTTGGCACGGTTGGCACGCGAGTTTGCGGTCGATGCCTTGTTGGCACTCATCTGGAACTTGAAGCCTTCGACCGACACGACGCTGCGCTCTTCTTGCTTGGCACGGCGTTGACGTTCTTCGCGCTCCTTTTGTACACGAATACGATGAGGCAGGTACTTCGACTTCTCGGATTCGCGAATCTTCTTGATGCCTTCTGTACGAGCTGAGCCAGTCGCGTTGGGAACGTAGTATCCTTCGATCTTGGTCTCGGTGCGGGAAACACCCTCCTGACCGTTGCGATTGAGATGCTTGATAGATTTCTGTTTCCAGGCCCATGATTGAGCGTCTCCAATACTGGCGGGAGCAATGGATTCAACGGCCTGCTTGAGAAGACGCAAATCTTCTTCATCCTTGAGCAGATGCTGCCAGCCATCAATGTCCATGACAACACTAAAGTCATCATCGACCGTCTTGCGAGGTATGTCGTGAGATACGCTCCAGCAGACAGAAGAGGCCCGCTCATCTTGCTCTGGAGTAGTTTCCTCAACCACTGCCTCTTCAGCAATCTCCGTAACCTCCTTGACTTCAGGTGCCTCCTCTTCTGTAGGTACTTCAATCTCCGTGACTTCCACCTTTGCAGCCTTGGCTTCCTCTTGAAGTTGCTTCTTGGTCTTTCTCTTTGGCTTGACAGCCTTCTTCTTGAGCGATGTGAGTGTTTCGGGGAGTTCAGTCGTCTCGATAGACTTCTTTGCCTCTTCATCTTGAGTGACAATCACTTCGGGCTCCGTCTTGTCCATCGGGCTTCCTTCAACACCAAAGATTACGTCTGCCTCTTGTTCAATCTTGCGCAGCCTCCTGAAACCCTTGAGCGCTTTATCGGCCTTCTTCCAGATTGGCGATGAGCGTGGGAGAATTGCGAGAACCTGTTCCAGCTCTTTCTCCGCCATGTTTTCAGGGTCTTTGTGAATACAATGAGCAAGCAAACTTCTGGCGTGGGAATCGTCCATCTCCTCATCACTGTCGTCGCCCCAACCAGTTTCAATGCGACGTCGCTTAGCACGGTGGGCTCTCGACGACTCTTCTACTTCATCTTCAATGTCCGTAGAAGGAGCCCGGCTAATAGGTCGGCTCTCTTGCTCCTCAGTGCCGCGTGTCAACTGACTGCGGTTTTCATCATCGGATTCTTCTGGCTCAAACATTTCAAGCATTTGGCGATGCAAACCACGAGCCACACGAGGCTTAGGCGCAGATGCCTTTCTTCGCTCGTCGGCAAACGCATTGACGACTTTTGGAGGCTTCTTTCCACGTCTCGTGCTGGGGTCATAAGCACCAAATCCTCTACGACCACCACGGCCACCAAGGCCTCCATTGCGACCTCTCGGAGTACCTGCACCGAAAGCATCGAAGCCTGGAGCGAGCAGCGCTGGGGGTCGGACATCCTCGTCCTTCTTTGGCGGACCTGGAATGTTGTACTTTCGGCGCTTCTCAACGTGCAACTCAGGATCCAGTAGCTCAAGTATCGTAGGCGCGGCAAGTTTAGTCTTGATGTCTCCAAGAAGCTTTTCCTGCAACTCCTGCTTCAGAACATCCAACGCAGCTCGTACAGGGTCCAGCGAGTCTGCCCTCTGCTTCTTCTCCCATTCCAAGTCCTCCGCCTCTTCCTCTTCTATTCGCTTCTCCATAGCCTTTCGCTTTTTATCGGCAATTACACGCTCGGGACTAGGACTTCGTTCGTAGTTGGGGTCGCCATACTGGTTACACTCCATGTTCATGACATACGTAAACAGAGCCTGCATGTGGCACTCCTTATAGCACCGAACAGTCTCGTCCTCGCCGCGCTTCGATTCTTCAAATGTCACATAGTAACCTGTTTGGTCGCATCGTACCGAAGACCACCGGAAGTTCTTTAATCGCTTCTTCAAATGTTCAATCGTGGTGCTGAGAACAGGTACGTATGCGTGGGCGATGAAAATATAAGGCTTTCGTTTCAGCGTAGGTTTGATCGGCTCTCGTTCGATGAGGTATGAAAGCGCTGCCTTTCGTGTTAACGGTTCTCGCATCATCGGCATCGGTGGACGAGCGCCCTTCCCAGAGGGTCCCTTTGGAACATTGGCTGGCAAGTCAAAGTTTGCGGGAGCAGTGGGCGTCGCGAGGCTGGCTGCTTTTGTAGCATGCTTGGCTCGTAGCTTCTCTTCTTCCTTGCGGCTTTGCTGTACTGCTACATCCACCAGTTTTGAACATCTTCGACCTTCGCGATCCGATTGTACCTTGATTGTGTGCTGGGCAAGGCGCTGGTTGGTGCCTTCTCGCTCAGCTCTTTTTGCCGAGGTACTGGCCTTCATGCCTGTAGTGCCACGACCGGGTGGAGTATCGCGAAATTTGACCAGACATATTCCAAGCGGACTGCCATTGTCGGGATGTACTTGGTTGTGCACAGTCTCTACTTCACCGTAGGCGGAGAAGAAACTGCGGAGCTGGACATCAGGAGTCAGAGGATCAAATCCTGTGACGACCACTTGGGTCGCAGGTCCTGGACCACATGATATACGCTGGTCGAAAGAGTAGGGCTTGGCTACATAGGGCGCTATCCTGAGTTTCGACTTCGGGGCACCTGTGAAAGAAGTCTTAATGACATAGTTCCCAGTGGTATAGCCGGCAATGGCCAGACGCGGGTCGGGAGGAGGAGATGCGTCGCCCTGTAACACAAGTCAAGTTAGCCTTAGCGTGACAGGGCGACCACATCTATGTATGTATATATATGTAACCTTCACGTACCTTGTCCAGTATTGTGCTGTATTTCGCCGTTCCTTTCGCCCTTGCCCGTCTATCGAGTTTTGGGTCAAGCTGTGCGTCGTAGGTGGAGCGCTGGCCCAGCACGCCGTCGGCCGGGAAGACAGATCTGCGTGACTCGGGCGGAGTGTTTATGGGTGTGATGGTATCGGCGACATTGTTGGATGCGCTCGATGGGGCGGCGCGTAGGGAGGATGAGGTCGCGTGCATCGTCTCATACGAGAGCTTGGAAGACCGCGGACTAGGCAACTTGCCAGGCGGAGAAGAATCTGAGCTGGTCAAGGGTGTGAGGGCGTGCAGTGAATTGTTGTGACCAGAGCGCGACATGGTCCAGGGGACGGAGGGTATGGACGAGGCAAGCGTAGGGGTGGAGGGAATCGAGTCAA